TTGAATGGGGAATAGGGAATAAAAAGGTATGCATTTGTCCATACATGTGCTCTCACATGTGTGCTCTCACACATGCGGGACACCTGGCCTTCCCAGGTTGTTAATAAAGCTTCTTCCTGATTCAACAATGGCTTCATGGAATTCGTGATATTGATGTAGATAACAGTACTATACCATTTAACTCTCATCAGTGACTTTGACAAAGGCTTATTATTATCATTATTATGTTATATTATTATTATAATTAAATTTGCAGATGACACAAAGTCCCCTAAGTATTGCTAATATAATGGGTGTTAGAAATGGGATCAGAAAAAAAATCTCCCCAAACTATAACATTTGGCTTGTATATATTAAGATGAAATTTAATAGAGATCAATATAAAGTCCTACACTTGGGTTTAAACCATCAGCTTCACAATTACAAGAAGGAGTGAAGTATGGTTAATGTTTGTTAAAAAAAAAAATCTGGTTTTAGTGGACCACAAAGTCAATAAGAGTAAACAATGTGATAAGGCACTGAAAAAAAGCAAATGTGATTTTATATCACATTGTTTACAATCTTTGAATTGACAGTGTTGCTGTACTCTGCTCTGGTCAGATCACATCTGGAACATAGTGCGGGCACCACGTTTAAGGAGGGACTTTGACAAATTGGAGAACATCCAGGGGAGAGCAAGTAGGATTGTGAAGTGCTTTCAGAACCAGTTGAAAGAATTGGTAAAGTATATCCTGGGGAAGACAAGACTTAGGGTAACATGTTTGTCTGTCTTCCAGTATTTGAAGGCTTTCCATCTGAAATAGGAATTTGGTTTTAGAGGGCCTCAGAAGACAGAACTAGGAAAGTTCATGTAAAAACATTGAGGTCAGAGACAATTTATTTCACTTTTTGGGTTATTGTTGTTGATTGTATCTCCACTGCCTAGCACAGTGCCTTGCACATAATATGTTATTTAATGAATGTTGAATTAAATTCGAATCATAAAGAGGCAAACATAGGCTCAACATAAGGCAACATTTCTGAACAGTTATACAAAAATTGAATAGAGTTCCTTAAACAAAGAACTTTTTGGAGTTTCTTCAGCAAAGATTTTATGATTACCTATTGGGCATGTTATAGAAGGGATTCTTGTTTAGGTATGAGTTGGATTAGATGGAAGTCCCTTCAGCTTTGAGATTCTGTGCTCCTGCTTAATTCCTTAAATCCTCTGATTTGTCCTTAAATCTCTTTATTCCTGTAAGGGGGAGAGGAGCTTTTGAGTCTGCACAGAGAGTTCTGCTAATAAGGACTGGGCTTATTGACTAGTCCCTGTTACATTCCTCTGACTTCTTGAGATTTTGTTCCTCTTCAATTTCTTTTCTTTTCTTTTTTCTTTCTTTTGGTGGGGGGGGCTTCCTCTTCTGTCTTCACCTCCTTCTTTTTTTCCTTGACTTTAGCTGAGGTCCTCCTCTCGTCTTCCATCTTCCTCTCACTTCCTCCATTTTTCTTCTTGATTTCTCCTCTTTGAAGTCTTCTTCAAGCTTCTATCTTCCTACCTTTCCTCTCATTTTTGCTTGGGTTCTCCTTTCTCTCATCTCCCTTCCTCTTTTTGAATCCTCCTCCTGGATTCCTTCTACTTCTTCATTCCTTTTCCTTTTTTCTTCACTCCTTATTCGTGGGTCATTGGCTTATTCTTGTGTCCTACTCTTCTCCCCTCTCAATTCTTTTTTTAAAAATAGAATTTTATTTTTTCCAATTACATATAAAGATAGTTTTCAACATTCATTTTTTATAAGATTCTGAGTACCAAATTTTTCTCCCCTCTCTCTCTCCCTCCCTCCCTCCCTTCATCCCTCTTCCCAAGATGGCAAGCAATCTGATATAGGTTGTGCAATCATGCTAAAAATATTTCCACGTTAGTCATGTTATGAAAGAAGAAACAGAACAAAAGGGAAAAACCACAAAGAAAAAACAAAAACAAGTGAAAATGGTATGCTTCAGTCTGCATTCAGACTCCATAGTTCTTGCTGTGGATGTGGATAGCATTTTCTGTCATGAGTCTTTTGGAATTGTCTTGGATTATTGTAATGCTAAGAAGAGTTAAGTCTATCATAATTGATCATCGCACAACATTGCTATTGCTGTGTATAATGTTCTCCTCATTGTGCTCACTTCACTCAGCATCAGTTCATGTAAGCCTTTCCAAATTTTTCTGAAATCTGCCTGCTCATCATTTCTTATAGCACAATAGTATTTCATTATATTCATATGCCACAACTTGTCCAGCCATTCCCCAATTGATGGGCATCCTCTCAATTTCTAATTCTTTGCCACCACAAAAAGAGCTGCTATAAATAGGTCCTTTTCCCTTTTTTATGATCTCTTTGGGATACAGACCTAGTCCCCCTCTTAAGTCTTAAACCCTCCAAATCTCCTTCTTTGCTTCTTCTAGGAGCAACAGGTGGAAGTGTCAGGAGGCAGATTTCTGCTTGATGTGGGGAAAACCTTTCTAACAATTAGAGCTATTCCAAAGTAGAATGAGCTGTTTCAGGAGGGAGTGGGTTCTCAATCACCAGAGGTAATCAAGTGAAGCCTGGATGATCATTTGTCAGCTGTGTTGTAGAGCAATGGTTTGACAAGATATCCTTTGAGGTCCTTTTGATTGTGTGATTCTGAGTCAGACAGCCAATTACAAGGTATAGGTAGCTTAATTTCCAAGGATTTAGCAATGAGAGAGAGAGAGAGATGCTAATCTACTGAGGTTTCAGGGAGTAAGCAGCTAGATGGCAGATGTGTTGCTACAGAGAGAAGAAATAATTCAAGACTAAGAGAGGAAATGAATAAAAGTGGGTACTACCATGGAAACACCTAATCTTTGGAACTCTCTTTGTGCTAGGCCTGCAAAGTTCTTAATCCATCCTTCATGAGGGTGCAGAGCCCTACTTGTTTACTTGTATGAAAACCGTATAGAGATTCTGGCGCTTCTGGTCCTGCACCAGTAAAGTCAGTGCTCCATTGCAGGTAGAATTCTGACCTCCTTTTTTTTCGATTCTACACCTTTGCCAAGGTCCAGAACTATCTCCCACAAAGCAGGCATTATCAAATAATAATAAACAAATAATCTTTGCACTAGAGCAGAGTTCACTAAGCCTGTTCACTAGTATAATTTTCGTCAACTTTCTCCTTTTAGACTCCAGATTTCACCCATCTATGTAGACTTGTGGTAGCAGCCATATGTAGAAGGACCTCTGTTCCTAGGTCCTTCCTTGTCAAACCTGTCTTTATAACATGCCTCTGTGATCAAAGCATAGAAAGAACAACAAATTTGGTATCAGAAGACCTGGATTCTTAACAAACTTGTGTTATTTACTAGCTCTGTGATCTCAGGCAAATCATTTTACATCCCAGAATGTGAATTTCTTTATAAAATAAAAATAAAGTGGTTGGACTAAATTATTTTAGTACTTTCAACTCTAAATCATTTGTTTCCTCCATGCCATAACTGATAGTTTTGTAGAGTTTCTGTGGCTGACAAAATTTATCATTGGGTGGTGATTCTGATTCATAAGTTCCTTCTGGAACTTCTATTTTGAGAAAGTGCCCAGGCTAGCCCTCTGCTTACTCCTTCACTCCCCTTTCAGCTCCACTCTTGACTCTTTGAACTTTTTCATGTACCAGCAGTCTGTTCATCTTGGAAGATCTCTTCCCCCAATGAACCTTTCTGTTCCTGATTTTTCCTCCATGGCCCCCCATAGGACTTCTCCCTCACCCCCTGCATTATAAGTTCTCAGTTCACTCTTAGACAACCTCCCCCCCCCATTAGAATGTAAGCTTCTTGAATGACTTATGAATTCTGATCAATAAAATGAAATCAATGACAATTCCAGAGGACTCGTGATGAAACATGCTGCACATTTCCAGATAGAGGTGATGGACTCAAGAGTGCAGAATAAAGCTTATGGGTTTTTTTTAAATTGAGGGTGGGGTGGGGGTGGAAGTGCATGGCCAATGCAGGAATTTCTTTTGCTTGACTATATATTTTTGTAATGGGTTTTGTTTTTCTTGTTTTCTCACTGATTGGGTAAGGGGTGGAGTGAGAGGGAGACAATTTGGACCTGAAAATAAAAATAAAATTAAATTAAAATTAAATTGGAAAAAAAATGGAAAGATCCTTGTGGGACAGGATTGTTTTTCTTTTTGCTTGTATTTGCACAAGTGCCTAGCACATAATAGGTACTTAATAAATACTTATTGATTTGATTTGCTGGTTGACTCACTTTGGCCAGTCATTTAGCTCTTTGCATTTAGCTGGTCCTTGGATGTCAGAAACACAATTCATTTCTGGGTCTGTACTCAGAGCCTTTCCAGCTTAGAAGGACCTGCCAAAGCTTCATGGCATAGTTTTCCAGAACCCAGAGTCACTGCCATGGCTAGGATGAAGCACCAGATGGGAACCTTAATGGAGGCTTTCTGAATTGAGGTGAAATAAATTACATTTTCTTTTGAGAACTTTATTAAAAAATCTTGAGCTAGTTGGAGGCACTATGTAACATTGGCAAATTTGGGTCAGAAATCATTACCTTAAGCTGTTGAATTTGATAGCTTATTTGGGCTATTTAAAAAAAGTTTTGCTTAGTGTGAATTCAGTATATCTTCTTACTTGAGTTAGGGTGAATTGCTTGTTTTCCTGTGAAGTGGGTACACCAAAAGCACCTTTTTATCTCTTTGGTTGTCAGCCATCAGGCCTGGGGTTAGAAGGGGAGGAGGCGGGGTTCTGGTCTTGGTGTAGAGCACTGTGTTCAACAACCTATGGAATTAAATCAAGTAGAAACATAGTCTCTTTGCTGGTGCTGGATCTATCTCTACCTACAGTGGCCAGCGCCTCCTATTAGGCTTTGTCTGAGAAACATAAAGTTGCATCTGTGCTTAGGGCAACTTCTGTGCTGATTCACAACTGATCACTCAGTTCCTGTAAGAAAACAGTTTATTTCCACTACGGCAAAAGGACTCCTCTGGTCATGTTATCTGTCCTCTGGGACACTTAATTTCTCTTTGATCCCACAGGCCACCACAGCAAAAAAGAACTCTGGAAAAAAGGTGCGAATATAGATGGCAGCCTTGGGGATGGGGTTGGCTATGAACACCTCCTGCTTCTTCCGTCTTATTGTCTTCATCACTTCTTCAGCTACTTCTACAGGATGGACTCCATAGGTGAACTTCCTAAAAAAGACTGGAAGACCAAGGAAAGAGAGGAAATAACTAATAATAAGAAAATGCAAATTAAAACATCTCTATGCTTTCATTTTACGCTCAGCAAATTGGCACAGATGACAAAAAATGTAAACAGGCAATATTGGAGAGGCTATGGGAAGACAGGTACACTGTGGGTGGAATTTGATTTGGTCACTCTTTTCAAAGATGATGCAACTGAAGCCCAGAGTGTAGGTGATTTGCTCAAGGTCTCACAATAACTGAGTCACAGGAGCAGGACTAGGACCTGGGGTCTTCAGCTGTCAATGGTGGTAGCTATTAGAATCCAGTATTTGAACTTAAGTCCCCTGACTCCAAATCTAGTGATTCTTCACCCCCCCCCACATTCCACATGTATTTTTTTTTTTTTTACCATATTACTACCTAATGTTTCTCAGTCTCACTTATTGTGGCTTAGGGGGCTGTGGGAGAGAAAGGAGAGTTGATGGAATTGTGTTCTAACATCTCCTCAAACTAATGGTGTTCATCTTAGTGCCATGCTTGGTGAATTGGAAAACTTGCTCTGGACCCTGTCTTTGCTCTGTCTCCAGATTCCAGAGAATTTACAAATCACTATGATTCACATCCCAGGATTCAAGGCAGCCAGTGAAGACAGCTCTGGAGCTGGTAGGGTCATCCTGGATCCTGACTTTCAAGCACTTCAGGACATGAGGGGCACACAAGAAACTAGAATGCATGGCATGCTACAACTCCATCTTACTGCAGATGCCTCGGACATCTCTGGAGGACATTGGGCCTTCAACCTCTCATGGGTTGGTTGGTATCTTTAAAGACTCTTCCAGAAGCTTCAGTGGAACAAGTCTGGATTAAGATTCAGAGGTCTGGGCTTGAATGCCAGTTCTGCCACTCAGTTGCTTTATCACCTTGGGTAAGAAAAGTCAACTTCCTGGGCTTCAGTTTTCTCTCTTAAAAAATGATTGTCAGGTTCCTTCTGGGTCCATGTCCCATGACATGACTCATGGTTTTGGAGCTTTCTAAGAACTTCATGAACCTAGGTTAGACAGGATTCATCTCAGAACCAACTTTCTTAATCTTTTCTGTGTTATGGATCCCCTTAGCAGTCCATATGATTTTTATGAATGCCTTCTCAGTAAATGTTTTTAAATGCCTAAGGTAAAATACATAGGGTTATAAAAGAAACTAATTATATTAAAATACAATTATACACTTTAAAAAAAATTCACAGAACCCCTGCCTTACATTCAATCTGTCCATTGTTCTGTCTCCACACCCTCCAGGTTCTTGACCTCTATTATAGCTAGGAACTCCCCAAGGTCTTCCAATACAGACTCACACATTCTGGGCTATAAATTATGATTCCTTCCCAATGGAAATGCACCTTGGATGTTGGTACTGTGATATAGGAATTGTTACAGAAAAAATAGTGGTGGGTGGCACAGAATTTGCAACCTCAAATAGTGGATTCAGCAGAAAAGGGTTATTCCAAAAGGTCATGATGTGCCTGGAGTACTGACAAGAGGTCTTTTCCAGGATCTGTCCCTACTGTCTTTTTCCTCTGACCCATTCCCTGTGTAAGTCAGAAATCTCACATTTCCAGATGGAAGCTTCCCAGTTCCCTGTCTCCGTATACGTGTGGTAGGATCTGATGAAAGTTGGGCTCACGGTACTGACAATCACTTCAAATTCTTCCACTTCTGCTCGGAGACAATCAAAAAATCCCTGGGCAGCATGTTTTGAGGCAGCATCTAGAAGACAAACAAAACAGAGATGAACACATGAAAGGCCTCGTTTCTTCTTTTCTCTTCTTTTCTGTGATGCAGGAGAGTCTTTCAAGGGCAGATACCTAGAAGAGATGCTGTCCCATTTCTAGGGCTAGGTCTTGATGAGATGGTGTATAAGAGATGTCTAATGCTCTGTAAAAAGAATTTGTCCCATTTAAACCTATCTCTACACTTCTACTCATACTTTAGTAAAGGGACTGACATCATGTTCTAAAGGTCTAGTAGTTTATAGGTTCTTTTTTGTGTGTCTCCTCATTTTTATTCTCTTTTTTTAATCATTATTTATTTCAAACATTCTCTTCTTTTTAAATTTTGAGTTCCAAATTCTCTCTCTCTTTCCTACCCCTCCCATACCCACTGAGAAGACAAGCAATATAATATCAATTATACATGTGAAATCATGCAAAACACACTTCCATATTAGCCATATCAGAAAAAAAGCAAGAAAAATAAAGTAAGAAAATTATATTTCAATTTGCACTCATAATTCATTGGTTCTCTCTCTAGAGGTGGATAGCATTTTTCATCATGGCTTCTTTGGAACTGTCTTGGATCACTATATTGATCAGAGTAGCCACGTCTTTCACAGTTGATCATTATTACAACATTGGTGTTATTGTGCACAATGATTTCCTACTTCTTCTCATTTCACTTTGCATTAGGTCACATACCTCTTGTTATGTTTTTTCTGAAACCATCTCCCTTGTCATTTCTTATAGCACAATAATACTCCATCAAAATCATGTACTACAACTTGATCAGCCATTCCCCAATTGATGAGTATCCCCTCAATTTCCAATTCTCTGCCACCACAAAAGCTGCTATAAATATTTTTGTATATATAGGTCCTTTTCCCTTTTCTTTGATCTCTATAGTAGCAGTATTGCTGGATCAAAGGGTGCACACAGTTTTATAGCCCTTTGGGCAGAGTTCCAAAGTGTTCACCAGAATGGTTGGACCAGTTCACTACTCTACCAGCAGTTCATTAGTGTACCTTATTTCCCCTCATCCCCTGCAGCATTTGTTTTTTCTGTTAGTTTTGAGGTGGTACCTCAGAGTTGTTTTAAATTGCCTTTCTCTAATCAATAATGATTTAGAACATTTTTTCATATGACTATAAATAGCTTTGATTTCTTCTTCTGAAAACTGCCTATTTATATCCTTTGACCATTTATCAATTGGGAAATGGCTCTTTTTTTTATAAATTTGACCCAGTTCTATACTCAGTGTGTATTTGACAAATGAGACCTTTATTAGAAAAATTGGAAATAAAATTTTTTGATATTGCTTCATTATCTATAGTAACCTTTAGTACTAGCACATTATGTAGTTTCCCTGATTACCTCTTAATTAGGTCTATTTTTTGCTTTTGCTTTGTCTGATATCATGATTGCTACCCTGCATTTTTTTTTTACTTCAGCTGAAGCATATTAGATTCTGATACAACCCTTAATTTTAACTCTGTGTGTGTTATTCTGTTTCAAGTGTATCTCTTGAAGTGATATATTGTTGGATTCTGTTTTTTTGTCCATTCTGCTATCTGCTTGTTTTATGGGTGAGCTCATCCCATTCACATTCACAGTTATGATTACTAACTGCATATTTTCCTCCATCCCATTTTCTTCTGTTTCTTCTTTTTTCCCTCTCTTCTTATCTTGTCCCTCCTCAAAAGCCTATTTTGCTTCTAATTACTGCCTGTCTTAATATGCCTCTTCTTTTATCAAGAAGATAAAATTCTCCTTCTCATTATCCCCTTCTCCTCCTATTTCCCTATTGGGTAAGTTATGTTTCTATACACAACTGAGTGAGTACATATTTTTCCCTCTTTGAACCAATTCTTATGAGTGAGGTTCAAGCATTGCCTACCACCCCTCCCCCCTTTCACTTTCATTGTAAAAGCTTTTTCTTGCATACCTCTCCTGTGAGAAAACTTTCCCCACTCTCTCCCTTCCCCCTTCTCCCAGTACATTCCTTTCTCATCCTTTCATTTTTATTTTTTGGAGGTCATTCCAACAAAATCGACTCACACCTATGATCTCTGTCTATGTAAACTCCTTTTAACTGCTCTATTAATTATAAAGTTCTTAGGAGTTACATGTATCATCTTATATAAGAATATAAACAATTTAAATTCATTGAGTTCCTTATGATTACTCTTTCATGTTTACCTTTTTGTGCTACTGTTGAGTCTCATTTTTGAATGTCAATTTTTAAATTCTATTCTGGTCTTTTCATCAGGAATACTTGAAAGCCTTCTATTTCATTAAATATTCATTTCCCCCTGAAGGATTACACTCAGGTTTGCTGGTAATTCTTGGTTGTAATCTTAGCTCCTTTGCCTTCCAGTATATCATATTCTAAGCATGCCAACCCTTTAATGTGGAAGCCACTAAATCTTGTGTGATCCTGACTGTGGCCCCATAGTATTTGAATGGTTTCTTTCTGGCTGCTTGAAATATTTTCTCTTTGACCTGTGAGCTCTGGAATTTGGCTATAATATTTCCAGGAGTTTTCATTTTGGGATCTCTTTCAGGAAATGATTGGTAGATCTTCTTAACCTCTATTTTACCCTCTGCAGCTAAAATATCAGGGCAGTTTTCCTTGATAATTTCTTGAAATATGATGTCTAGGCTCTTTTTTCTATCATGGCTTTTAGGTAGTCCAATAACTCTTAAATTATCTCTCCTTGATCTATTTTCCAGTTAAGTTGTTTTTCTGATGAAAATATTTAACATTTTCTTCTACTATTTCTCTCTTTTGACTTTGTTTTATTGTTTCTTAATGTGTCATGGAGTCATTAGCTTCCACTTGCCCAATTCTAATTTTTAAGGAGTTATTTCTTCAATGAGCATTTGTACCTTTTTTTCCATTTGAACAATTCTGCTTTTTAAGGTTTTATTTTCTTCAGTATTTTTGGTGCCTATTTTACCAAGATTTAATTATTTTTCATAATTTTCTTGTATCACTCTCATTTCTTTTTACCAATTTCTCCTCTACCACTCTTACCACTTTCTTTAACTCTTCCAAGAATTCTTATTGGGTTTGGGTCCAATTGGCATTTTTCTGTGAGGCTTTTTTTGGGTAGCTCTCTTTTTCTGAGTTTATGTCTTGTTCTTCCTTGTTACTATAGTATTTTTTAATGGTCAAATTATTTTTTGTTGTTTGCTCATTTTCCAGCTTATTTCTTGCCTTTGAACTTTGTTAAGTTCTGCTTAATCCTGGGGGTAGGGAGGCATGTCCTAAGCTTCAGACTTTTTCATGTTGCTGTTTTCAGAGCTAATTCTGGGGATCTGCAGGTTTTTAGTGCTTCCTATGTGGTATGATCCTGGAAGAGGTATGGTTACTGCTCTCCATGGTCTATGCTCTCATCTTTGCCCAGGAGGGGCCCCTGGTTCCCTCAGCCACAAGAGCTAACTCTCTCTTTGCCCTGGAATTATGACTAGGGCCCCTGTTCCCTTGTGAATGACCATCAGTGCTCCTCCACACCCTGAAACTGCAACCCAGAACTGCATATGGGCAATAGAGTTGCCAATCAGCACCAGCTGTACCCAGTGCCAGCAAAGGGTTCCCTGTAATCTCTGACCAGTTGTCCAAACCTTTTGCTGTCTCTGATCTGAAAGCTACTGCTGTGGCCTGTTGCCACTCTGTGTGTGTGGGCTCTGGACAGGTCTCCATCCTGGTGTCACAGACTTTACCTGGTAACCTCTTAATTTTTTTAGGCTGGAAAAATGTTTTACCCTTATCTTTTGTTGGCTCTGCCATTCCAAGATTTGATTTGAGGCATTATTTTGAAGTTGTTTGGAGGAGAATGTTGGGAGAGTTCAGTGGGTGGCTGTCCCTAATCCATCATCTTGGCCAGTTAATTGGTTCTTATCTTAACATGTTGTCCATGCATTCTTAAGAGGTCTATGGATAAATTTCAGGGATCTGTGAACTTAGATAGTGAAAACTGTATCTTTATTTTCATTAAGCTTTGGTTTCCTTTGCAAATCCTATGTATTTTAGCTTATACTTATTAAAACATTATTTTGAAAAGGTATCTATAGACTTCACCAGACCTCCAAGGTAGGAATTTTAATAGATAGAAGTGAAGAAGGAATGGATTGTAGGAGTAAGGAATAGCCTTTGTAATGGCATGAAGACAGGACATGTAATGTTGTGTATGGGAAATGGAAAGTAGGACAATTCAGCCAGGATATAGGGTGCAAAATAGAGGAATATGCAATAAGTTTGAAAAAGGAGCAAAACTATGAGGAGCTTTTAAATTCTAAAGGAAGAGGGTCCTACTGCAGTTTTTTAAGTAGGTCAGTGAGATATTCAAGTTTTTGCTTTAGGAATATCACTTTGGCTGTTATGTGGAAGACAGACTGAAGAGGAGAGAGACTTGAGGAAGGAGACCAATTAGAAAACCACTGCAGTAGTCAAGCAAGAGGTCATGAGTAGCTGAACAAGGTAGGTGATTATAAGAGTGGAAAATTTATCTCATTTAGCCACATGAGAAACTTATCAAGGTAAAATGGACAAGACTTGGTTATTGATTGAATATTAGTACGGAGGGAGAGGGAAGAGTTAATGACTTAGAAGTTGTAGACTGTGGGTAACTGAAAGGAAGGGTGGTACCCCAAATAGAAAGAGATATTAGAAAGAGAGGAAGGGGGGGGAAAGATAATGAGATATATTTTGGACATTCTTGGTTTGAAAGGATTATGGGAATTCTAATGGAAGATGTTCAATGGGCATTTGGTGATTTAGGCCTGTAAATCACAAGACAGACTGGAGCTTTATGCATAGAACTGAGAGTTTTCTACAGAGAAGAGATTGTTGAAACACTGGGAGCTGATGAGCAAGATAGTCTCTGCCCTCAAGGAATTTAGATTCTATTGAGTGAAGTCAACACATAAAAGGAGAGAAGACATAAGGTCATAGTATGGAAATGGTTGGGGAGTAAACTTGGCAGCCTGGTT